TTTCCTTTTTGAGGGGGAAAATTAAAACTATCATGAGAAATATGTAAGGAGAATAGTCAAGAGTGTTTCTCTCTGTAGAACTTTGTGGCTCCTCATTTCAGCATTCATGACATAAAGGACAGGTCAGACTTGAAAAGACTGTGCCAATGAAGACAGTTAATATTATTCTAATTGTATTTTGTACTAACTTGCAAGTTAATTAAAATGCTCTTAACTAGCTATTTAGGTCTTTAAGTTATTGTAAAGTAAGCAGAATTCCACCCCATAATAACTACGTCTTCAGAACCCAATTCATGAAGCAAGCAAGCAATACTTCTTCATAAAATCCTTAGACCTCCTTTGACATCAGAGCAGGAGTGGAAAGGTGACTTGAAAATACCCCGTAGCTCCCATGAAAGAACATTCTTCACTACCAGCATCCTGACCCTTTCTGGCTCTGGCACTAGAATTCACTGTAATGTGCTTTGATCTATTACCAGGTGCTTACATAGTCAAAAAGGAAAACATTGTCCCCCAAATTCATTGTCATTCTAGAAAACAGAAATAATTTCACAGAGCTCTAAAAAGTTGCATATTAAGGACCAGAGGAGAATCAAGGCCTAACTGGCCTTCTCTGAGCACAAAGGAGAAAGGCTACACTCAGGGGTGACTGCATGTTAGGGAAAAGTTAAGACGCCTGAGGTTAAGTTGTTTACCAGAGAATGTACTATTGACTATTGCAAACCAGATGAATCTCGTGTTACCTTGATTGCTTGTGCCTGTGTTCAGGTGAATAAAAGCAAGGTGAGGGCTGGGGATTTAGCTCAGTGGTTCCAGTGCCTGCCTTGCAAGAGCAAGGTCCCGAGTTCGATCCCCGGTAAAAAAAGAAAGCAAGGTGAGCAAAAGGCTCAGGGCTCCACTGCCTGCTCCACCAGGCTCCACCTGGCTGCCCACATGTTGAGTGACTCCATGTCTCTTTATTATTCATCCTTGTTTGCCCCCAGGGTCAAGGAGGAAAAAAGTAGGGGCTCTGGGTCCCAGAGCAAAGTTGGTCCCATGAGCCAGCTACAGGAGGCACCCCAGTGTGTGGCCAGGGACCCGGGGTTGCCAACAGTTGCATATCCATTTTTTAAACAATTTAAATAGTATATCAACTGTTGATGGTTTAAAGATCATTTTTTCTGCTAGTTCTAACTCATAAATGTTTGCAGAAGTTCAAATAGGTAACAGAAATCACAAAAATCTCAACTGAAAACAGAAATGTTAAAAGTTCATTTTGTGATTATGACAGGCTGACATCACTATAAAACAATTGTGTGTATGTATGTGTATATATACAAACATGCAGTGTGATAAAAATTTTAAAAATTTATTACAGTAAAACACATTGTCATTACTCCCTCTTAAAATAACTTCATGTCAAACCCCTCGTATAAGTGATGCTTACTCTATCTTTAGAATAATTCCATAGATATTATATTGACCAAGAAATATGGCTCAGTGACAAGAATTGGTTGTTCATCAAATTGAGATAGCTTTATTTTTCATATAAATATATCTACACTACATTTTCCAGTTTCCTGTGTAGTCACAGCCTTGTAACTGAATTGTGGCCAAAAATATGTGCACAAAAGTGATGCACAATGGGAAATGTACAGGATCACTTAACAATAGTCAAGCCAGGAGTGGTGGCACATGCCTGTAATCCCATCACTCTGGTGGCTGGCACAGGAGGCTACCAAGTTCGAGCCCAGCCTGGATGACTTAGTGAGATCCTGTCTGGAAACAAAAATTTTTAAAAAGCCTTGAGATGCAGAGATGTAGCTCAGTGAGTATGCCTTGAGTTCAATCCCCAAAACCAGAAAAAAATTCAAGGTTACCTTTGGGAGCCACGCATTCAAGATGCAAACACCCACACACATCCCACATGACATGAAACACCACAGCCTCATCTTTCACCCTGGACTGGACTTTCCACAAGTGAAAATTAGCCTCTATAATGTAAACTACTGTACTGAGGAAGTCTGTCACAGCAACTAGCGTTTTCCTTCCCAATATTCTCTGCAAAAATTAGTTCTCCCATTCTAATGGATTTCTTACTTTCTGTAAGAAAATATGTCAACACTGGGATTTCTTGATGGACAGGGTAAAACAATAAAGTTCATATTTTAGTACGTAAAAGAACATAGCATAAAGAATGAAGGAATTAGCAAAGAAAGGAATAAACAAAAGGATTGCATAAACAGATATTTCCTTTTTTTGTTATACATTGGTAATCCATAGTCCCCAGAAGTACATGATCTAAGGGAGAAAAGAATCACCATTTATGAAGGTTAACTGATAGTACACAAAAATTCTGCATGCCACTTACTTATGTGTCAAAGGAGCACAAAGAAATTATAAATGTTTGTGATGGGAATCTTGATTGCCCCAATTTGAACATATACACTGTAAACCTGTATAAAATTTCCACTGTATTTCATAAATACATTTAATTTTTATATGACATGTAATTTAAAAAAATAAGTGAAGACCATTTTTTTCCCAAAGACATACTTGGACTTGGGGTTAGAAGAAAGCAAGGAGTAAAAAGAGGAAAGCTGTCTTGCTCACCATTTTTTCATTTCTCCTTTGTTAGATGACACTTTCTAATTCATCAAATACTAAGAGCACTTATATAATGTTTTAGATGTTTCAGTGATGCTGATGACTCAAATATAGGGTTATATATAATTTATAAGTATTATTAACTCATTCAAAATGTAATAATCCATTTATTCATTCAACAAATATTTATGGAGGACTTGTAAAGTGCTGGGCCCTCCAGGAATATGCTATACAAGATCAAAAAAGGCTTCCATTCTGATGGTGCTTATGTTTTGATTGGAGGGTAGCAAAAGGGAGAAAAATAAGAAATAACACAACATGGTAATTTCAGAGCGAGAAGTTCATGAAGAAAATTTTTTTAATTAAACAATTAGTATGTTGGAATAATGGATACTGGAAGGCCTTCTAAAAGTCAGAATGTCATGGAAAATGTGAGTTATAAATACAGGGATTCTTATCATTTTGTTTACCAGAACTTGGAAATTCCCTTGCTTGTATTAGGAATTAATAAATAACTGTTGAATGAGAACAGCAAGATCCTAAATGGGAAGTCATCTTTGAATGTTGAAGGAAGGGACAGATGGCTAGGGTGACCAGAGTATGACAGTTTAGGTAAAATCTAGGTGCCAGTCTCAAAGTGGAAGTCAGGTGCCCTATCATGCAGTGTTTCATGGACCATGGAAAACAGTCTGGGCTTTCATTTAAATTTGATGAGAAGTCATTAGAACATTGTAAACCAGGGAATCTTTTGATCTTTTGCCTGTTTTAAAGGGAATCTTCAGCTGAGTGTACTCTGCAGGCAGGGAGCAAAATGAAAGCAAAAGAAGAGTTGATAGAAACAGAGGATAATGGGGTTTCTGGAAGGGAGAGAACTGAAGTAATTAAGGAGGTGATACCTGTCTGGGTAGATGGTAACACCAATCACACAGGCAATACTCAGTATGGGTGACAAAGTGAAGGGATTTGTTTTATTTGTACATCATTATATCTTAAAAATGATGTGAACATAAAATTCCATAGGCAAATACCTACTTTTTTTTTTTTTTTTGGTACCAGGGATCAAACTTGTGACCTTGCTCTTACCAGGTAGGCAACGGAATCACTGAGTTAAATCCCTGGCCCTGCAAATATCTACTTTTTATAATTCTGTCTTTTTCTCCCTCCTCCAATCTTACATTAGAAATTCTTTCAGCTTTTATCCTTAGTCTTGTTACCACTGCTTTCTTGTTTTTGCATTTGTTGTTGATGTTCTCAGAAATCTGGTACTCTCTTGATAGGATTCTGAGATATGTCTCGCACCCTATTTCTATCCTGAGCTGTCCATTCATTACAGCCTTGTGCTGGATATCACCATCCCCTTGTCTCATACCCAGTGCATAGCAAAACCTTCATCTCTCTTAAGCCTATTTCTCCTCCTAAATTAACTATCTCAGACATCTAAATCAGAAAGTTTAGAATATAATCTGATCTCTCTCTTCATTCTTTATTTCCCTTCACCAAATAGCTATCAAATATGCTGCTTCTGTTTGGCAGAATCTCTTACATGGGTCCTCTCTTTTCATGCCCAAGGACACAGGACCTCCTAATGGGCTTGGTGCTCTGTAGTCTCTATCTTTTCCATTGCTAGCTCAACCATGCATGTGAAAGTTCTGCAGTTAAAATCTAATCAATCACTGCTTAAAAGTATTCATCAGCTCCTGACCTCAGAATAATCCCACACACCACAGCCAGAGGGTTCTGATCCTCTGGGATCAGACAGATGTCTGTGCAACTTTCTTGCCACACTCCCTTCCCGGTACACTGGCCTATAGAACACATTATCTAGCCACATGAGATTCCATGCTAGTTCCTGAGAAGACCACCATGCATGTCCCCACTACTATCCCTGAGTACTATCATTTCCTCAGAAAGAAACGTGGCCCAAGCACATTAGGGACATGTGGGACAAGTACATTAGTACATGTGCTGGAAACATGTACTAAAAAACACATTTTTAAAAAAGATTGTCCATACACACTGCCCTTCTGTCTCTGACAGAATTTCATTTCTTCTACATTGCCCGTCACTGATGCTACATGAAGTTCTTACACATACTACAGTTACAACTAGTCATGTCTGCCTCTATAACCCCACGACACTTGTCTTCATTTCTAACTCCTGCCTGTGTGTTAGCTCCTTATTTTAATGTTAAAAACTGGGTCACCATAACCCCACACTCCTTGAAACACTATTCTTTATACATTACGTACTGAAAATGTTGGGGCAGGGGGGTCCTTTAACTTGGAAAATTATTACTAAATAGAAATGAAATTAAGGTACAGGCTGGGAGATAGGGAAGTAACTCAGTAGACTAAGATACAAGCAACTTGAAAATTTCCAGATTAAATAAATAATTAAAGTAATAAAACAATTACCATGATGGATAATTCCATTTTCTAATAATGCTTGTCCCAAGTGAACACCTTCCTCAGGCCTATGGATTTCTCCCGTCTCCAACAGCCACGACACAAATTCACTACAACAGAAAACCAATGAAAACATTAAATCTTACCTCCTTGCTCTCTCACGCAAAAGTATCTGTACTATGTAGTCACGAAAAAGCTATTTAGTAAGTCTCAAAATATAAAGGAATATTTCCAATGTATTCCAGTAGGTATTTTTCACATATATTAGGTGCACAGATAGAAAACTTGCGATCTATACTAGAAAACCCATGTTTGTACACTGAGACTTTCCTAAACTACATTTAATGTACTATTCAACCTGTTGAGGCCTCTACTAAACACAAAATGAAAATGTCATTGTCGCTTTAATTTTAAAGGTATTTTCCATATAAAGGCAAATGGTCCTATAGCATCATTTAAAGAATAAATCTGAAGAAATTTTACAAATAAAATGTTATGCACATATTTTTAAAATCTAACATTTGAACTTTTACATAAGCTCAATAATTTGTCTTAGATTGGTTTTCTGTTTGGCACAGAGCCCGGAGAATCAATGTTATAAAAAGCATGAGTAAATTAGATTTCCATTTCCTTCAAAACCAAAGATAAGACAAATGCTTTAAATCAAGTCAACAAGGGACATGACATTCTTAAAACTGAATTGCCTGGTCTAAGAAATACATTTTGCCAGGTGTGGTGGAACCCACGTGTAATTCAGCACTCTGAAACCTGAAGTGCAAAGAACATGAGTTTGAGGCCAGCCTGCGCTACGCAGCAGTTCAAGACCAGCCTGAGCTACATAGCAAGACCTTATTTCAAATAAATAAATAAATAAATAAAACCAGAAAAATACTTTAAAGCAGGAAAGGTTGGTAAAGCGGGTTTTATTCTTTTATTAAATAAAAATCATCCAAAAGAAAGACCAACAATAAAAAAGAACAAGAGAAACAAAAGAATAAATAAAATTAAAAAGGACATGAGAAGTACAATAAAGAAGAATGGTTAAGATCATGTACTTTGCAGTTAGACAATCCAGATTCAATTCCCGTTTCTTCTTCTACACCTGTGTAACCTCTCTCTCAACCTCAATTTTTCCATCAATAAAACAAGAGACAATACCAATGTCATGTGCTGTCAAGGGATTAAATGAGATGAGGTATGGCAGGAACTACACCCAGTGCATCTCACAGGGAGATCTTACTAAGTCTCAAAAGTTGATAAGTGAGTTGAGACAGCTGATATGTAACTAAACCATAATTTCCCATTGAGATTAACAATTTTTTAAAAATGCCAAATTCAAATGAGGAAATCTATTTAAATATTATTATAAATTGGGATTTTTTTTTTAAATGGGAGCGAAAGGAAGAAAGGAAGTATATGAGGGGCTTTATCAGGGGACCTACTCAAGTAATGGAGATTCCAGCAACATTTTGCTAAAGGATCATGGTCCACACAGAAAAGATCTCAAACTTGGGCTATAATGCAGCACTGTAATGCTGTGAGGGATAGGCCACAGTAACACTTTCTAGGCTTGTCTTATGTGTCAAGTGCTCTGGAAAATGCTTTACAACTACTAACTAGCGTTATGATCATGAGATGGTGTGAAGAAAGGGTTAGCCAAACCCTTACTCAAAAAATTAGGGCAAATTTTGCTCATGCTAACTTGTTAACTCTGTTCTCCTAGACATCTGATCACCTGATGAAGGTAAGATGTCAGCATTGCTATGGTAAGAATGATCCCTAATGGCTAGCTACATTGCATGCCTGTAGGATCCTGGGGAAGCCATAGCGTGATGTGACACCTACATGTGAGTATATTCCAGTGGGGACCCTGCATCTATGACAAGTTGGATCAAGATCTGTGCTTTTTGCTGCATAACAGCTATCAGCTGGTGGAGGGGGGGCCTGCCAGGAGCTACACTATTGGGTAGCTGTGTTGCCTGCTGTGAGGACCACTCCCTCTGAAGACAGCTCAAGCCGCCCTGCAGGCAGAGGCTTTCCTCGTCCACATATTTTAGTGTTGGAGTTAGAGGTAAATGTGGCCTATGGTCATGTTGCAACTACCCATAGTTAGTTAAGAAGACATCTTAACAGGCATTACAGATAAGCACTGCAATCATCTCTTCATATCTTGAGGCAAAACATAAATTTAACTTTCCCAAATCACATCCCAAATCACCCAAATTTAACTTTCCCAATGATAGCCAGTGGGAGCACCAAGATTTGATCAGAGACAATTTGATTAAAAGTCTGAACTCTAACTACAACTCTAGCCTACTTTTACGGAACTGACAATGGCATCCACTGACTATATGAACTTGAAAAGCTCCCTGATCCACACTTCCTGTATCTTTAAAATAGAGAGGCAATTAACTCCTAAGTATGTATTAAGAGGATCAGAAATTATGTACAGAATGAGGTTAACACAGAGTCTTAATTAAGAAGAGCTACCTGGGGCTGGGGATTTAGCTCAGTGGTTCCTCCTTCCACCTCGCAAGTGCAGCGTCCCAAGTTCGATCCCTGGTGCAGAAGAAGAAGAAGGAGAAGGAGAAGGAGGAGAAGGACACGAAGACGAAGACGAAGACGAAGAAGAGGAAAAAGGAAGAAAGAAGCAGAAAAAAGAAGCAGAAGAAGAAGAGCTACCTGAAGCAGCTACCTTTTCTGGTGGCTCTGCACCAGACAGGGACTCCCACTTGGGATTGTCTGAAGAAACCAAATGATACATACTCAATGGTATCCAGCCCCTCACATGATTCACTTTCTCAGATTCTTCATCTGTGCCTCTTCATCTTCAGCCCCACAGTCTAAATTCTAAATTGCCTTCAATTTTCCAGTATTCCCAAACTTTTTGGATCCACCACTGTCAACTCTGACTTTCAAGCCCTCTGTGCATTTCCATGCCAGATCCATCATTCTGTCTTCTACAGGCAGTGCCCCACTTCTTGCCTTGCTCCAACCTCTGCTTCACACTCAGAACATGGTATATCAAGAAGTATGAAAGTCATAGCTAAATGACTGAGGTTACAAAGTTACCTGGTCATGATTCTAGCTCTCTTCTCATTGAAGGTCTGGGAAATGTAATTCATAAAGAATTACTTTACTCAAAAGTGTTTAGTGGGGTACTTTTAAAGGAGAAAGAAATAATTAAATAGAGTTAACATATGAGATAATAAACATCCTACCTTCCGAGAAAGCATTTAGGGAACGTAGTCAGTTTTCTTTTTCTGTCTTTGATTAGATTTCCTTGCTTGCACATCATTTTATAAAGTTTCTCACCCTGTTCAGAGATCATTACCCAGGTGTCTTGCTCCATTCCTAATTTTAAAACTATCAAAAATGAGAGTAAGGGTAGGTAACTGAAAAAGTCTCATTGATTCATTTATGCTTTAAACAAACATTAATTGCATGTCTACCACATGCTGAAGGCTGTGGATACAGAGCTCTGTAAGACTGGGTTCAATATTCAAGCAGTTCATGGAATACTAGAGAGACAGTCAAGGCAAGATCCTCAGGGTTTAAGATACCTTTGTGCAACTGTGCCCCAAAGGCACACAGTTTAGCCCTTGGAGTAAGAGAACCAGATAAAGTTAGCATAATTGGACATGGCAGCCCTGGAGACAATGCTGCAGGCATGGGGGAAATTGTGATATAATAGGGGCATATTCAGGATACCACTTCTTCCTAAGAAATGTTAAGAAATCTTTCACAGAAAGGCCATGTTCAAACGCACGATCACAAACAGGTATTTCTAGAGAAAGAGAAATTATTAATAGGAGCTAACCAAGATTAAGCAATACAGAGGTATGGAGCCCTGGGGTCCTTGTAGTTTCAACTTAAGTGCTAGGGAAACATCTAAGTGTTGTAACCCATAAGAGGGGAGAAGCAGTAAAGAAAATTTGTTACTATGGAAACAAAACTCAGAGGAGACTACGAGGAACAAAAGGAAAGGGAAAGAGTTTTAACAGAAGAGATCATTCAAAAGAACCTGCAGAATTTCAAACCACTTCAAGCCCCTGCAAACAAGGGGCTCCAGGACAAGGAAGATAAAATTGAAAAGAGGCAGGAGGTAGTATTGGTAGGACACAGCTATTGGTTATATATAGATGTGAAAGAGAGAAAAATAAAGGGTATTCAGGGTATGATGAGAGTAACCGAATGAAGCCAGGGACAACGTTTGGGTAAAGGAGCCCATCATTCCTGAGAATTCTGGGTAGATTCTAGGCATCAGTAGAACATAAGTACAAAGTCCAGATAGGGCTGCACACATAAAACTGAAGTGATAGTGCAGAAGTGGACACTAGTGTGATGGAAATAGATAGCAAGGAATCTAGTTAGAAGCCTGTGTCAAAGCTAAAATCTCACGACTGTGAACAATCAACTGTTGCAGAAGAAGAAATTTTTAAATTAATTTTAGTCTTCTATGCTACAAACTTTCCTGTTAAAATTTTATATTTTTTACAATGCAGGAGCCATGATATTTATCGGCACTAGTGAATAATCCCACAAGAATATAATTTGAGAAGGATAAATATCAGAAATGATTTATTCCATCTGCTTTTTGCATTGTTACTGTTTCAAATTTTTGTCTTATGGATCATAGCCATTCTGAGAGAGAAAAAGGTTCAACTTAATGAAAAAATTCAATTCACCTTTTAAGTTATTTACTTTGTTACTTGAATTGATTGCTAGAATCAAAAAAATCTAGAGTCAGTTAAACATTCATAATTTTGTTGTAAAAATTTCTATCTGGTTCTTTCCCCAAGGTCAATCAAAAGAATAAGTATTTGAAAATGCTTTGGAAATTCTTATAAAAATATATACTGAGAATATTTGAATGACAATAGATACTTTGCATATTCTTCAAGGGAAAGCATTTGAAGATGAAAGAAGCTTCACGTACTGGGATTTTATTACCAATTATGTGTTTTGCTGAATCTCAGCAAAAAACAAATAACAGTGGCATCCTTAAATATTAAAAATTAATTATTAA